CGGCGAGACATTCCCCACCCCGACTCCCGGATCGAACTCATCATCACCTCCACCTCCAACAAATACACGCCCTGTCATACGGATAATCATGACGACGAGATGAAGCAAACCTTTAAGTAAAAGTCATCCCAAGAAAAAACACTATTCCAAAACGATCTGCTCTTATACACACTTTGATAGTCTCTTATCTCGGTTCCTCATGAGACTGTCCGCATACAATGCCAAAGTGGTGATCCAATGGTTGGCAGGATGCGTATAAATACGACCGTTTTTGTCGATGTGAGAGGATCTCCTTGCCCCACCTTCACACACTGACGCCACAAAGATGAACACTTGAAGGCACCTCAATTTCGCATTAACTATACCTATGACTTTACAGATGCGCGAGAGCACAACATCATCAGGGTGGAGCGTCCCAAGGTAGGCTACCAGCCTCGATAGGGCAGAGTATGCTTCAATCATGCCTTCCTTTATGAACGGGGGCGGAGATGTGACATGCGTACACACACACACACCCCTGTTTTAGAGATTGTGACCTCCCTCATCCCCCTCCCCGCGTTTCGTCAACCAACCGGGCTAGTCTTCATGAGTGGCACTTTGGTGTTCGATCCACTGCTATTTCGTTTGCTTAACGTGCAGCAAGCGTCACATGTGGGGAGAGCAGGTGCGTGCGTGGACTCGCAGACCTTGTTGGTCAACAGACTGATTGAATTGTCGAATGTGCTCTTTGCTGCTAGTTTGAAGAGGCAATCGCTAGAGTCGCATCGTCTGACTGCGAAAATGGTTGCAAACTGTCGTGATGTTCTTCGGTCCTGTTTAGCGTTGCTTTTTGCATTGCTTATTGCGTTACTTGTGACATCTTGGTGTCTTTTATGACATTCATTTGATTGCGTTCGCTTTATATCCTTTGAATTAATTTTATCTTCTTTTGAAATGTCGTTTTTTTCTTTCAGAATTTTTAACTTTCGCTGGCCTTATTATCTTACCGTCATTTTGACCATTTACTAGCTTCAGGGTTTTGCGAACCTGAAAATGCCTTTTGGAAGTTTTATTATCGTGAATCAAGAATGTGCTTCATTTATAGTCCCATTTTTCTTCCGACTCATTTCCTTTTTTAAATTATTGTTTTTTTGGTCTAACTTTTACAATTTTAATAATCTCCCTTACCATTGAGTGCAAAATGTTCGTTCTTATCGCCTATACTTATGCCTTTCACTTAAGTTCACACAGTTTCATGCGACCCACTTTTCATTTTGCCTTCGAATTCGACTGAATTAATTATGCGTTTTGGAAATAAAAGTACGGTTTGATTAACACAGCTGTTGTTAATCTGATTGGATTGTTCTTATTTGCGAAAACTGACTATTTTTTTAGTCTGGACGTTTGGCTACAGTGCATGGTCTTTTGGCATCAGAAATTGCTTTTATTTAGGGTTGTTTATTGTCCGCATCTGCCCATACCATTGGTAACTTAAGCGGTCGGAATTTCATTCTGTAAATCCTTGCCGTTCTTCCGGACATTGGAAATGGAGACTTTGAAGTTTAGGGATTATTCTCCTTACTTTAGTCCTCTGAACAATCTTACGAAGTTTGAACATAAGTTTTGAATATTTGTGCCATCTCCATTCATCTCAACTTATCCAACATCCGATCAAACTGGCTTTTTTCTTTTTTACCCTTTTTGGCGTAGCACAAGCATCACGACTCTCTAAATCCTTTTGTTTAGAAAAGCGTCCTTTTTGTTGTTGCCTTGACAGGTGATGAAAGCCCGTGACTTTGTGGCCAATGAAGATGTGGCAATAAAGATAATCAAAAATAAACGAGCCTTTACCAATCAGGCACGTGAGGAGATCCGTTTGTTAACACAAATGAATCGACTTCAGGACTCCAACACCGATGCCTCCAGTAGTAACCACGGCGCTAATTATGTCGGTCAGTGAATTTTTCTCTTCCTCTACAGCAAACTTATGTCCAAATTTAATTGCAGTTTTGTTTCAATCAAACCCTACAACCTTTTGTGGTAGTTTATCTATCAGGCGATCAAAAGTTCGTACGTTCGCCGGCGCAGTTTGCTGCAGCAGCTTTCAATCCACAGGACTTACAATTTCCGATACCTCTCTTGTCGTGGTTGGAAATGCGTCAGCCCATCGACACACTGCTCCTTAACACTTTTTTATTCACCTTTTCAAAGATTCAGAGCACAAGATGTTAGTTGGGTCTATTTTATATCACTGAAGCTGCAGAAAATAGTCTTGTGTTAGCCTTGTTTTATAGGAATTTTTAAAAAATGGGCGGCGGAATACACCATCCGGAGATGTTTTAGCGGAAAAAAAACAATTCTGTTGATGAGTCACTCAACGATGCATCCTGAGACTGTTCCACCAAAAGTAGGGGCTGTTCTTGACCGAAATGGAGGATTGTCACTACTGATTAGACTTTCTTGAGATTGACGCACTGAGAGCAAGAAGTGTTCGTTTTTTGACGCTAATGCTGAAACACTAAGGAAGTGAGCTCCATATACCGTGTACTGTTGGATGATAGCAAACTTTAAAGACTTCTACTTTGTTTTTCCGTCCTTTGTCATATGTGAAAAGCCGTTTTGACTGCTGACTGGCTAGCTCCTGTGTTCAACTGTGCGTTCGGTGGATGAACGTAATTGGTCATCCTCAACTGTCCTACTCATTAACTATCTCTCGCCTCCAAACTATGCACCTCTTCATCCTCAAAGGATTCTTTTTTCTCCACACGCATTGGCTATAGCTGCGACCCTTGATGGCGCACGAATAAATATCACCATAGGTTAAACTAGTTAGGACTTAGCGTTGCCTACTCCGAGTAGGCGGCAACCACGCCTTAGACCTATCTACATGGCTAAACTCGGTGCTGACGAAAGACTCCTTCTTAAGAGGAACCGATTTCCTAATTGGATGTCTTTCTCGAAGACATAAGACTGTACCCAATACTGAAACCTTGTCGTTCGAATGTCTGCACTTTTGGATACTGGGGAGAGGGGGACAGTTCTTGTGAATATTATCCTCCCAGTAGTAAACAAAGCATCATGACATTAAATGCTCAACTGACAACAAAACATGACAACAGCAGTCTGGAAGAAACGCAAGCGAAGCAATGGTGGCCAGTAATTAGGTTGTTTGGTTTCCGAAACAATATCGTTTTAGGAGTTAGCTTTCATCCTACTTCTGCCTTGTCTCGGAAATGTGGCGGGCTGAAATTTTCAACCTCTTGGTAAATAAACTGCTTTTAAGGTGTTCTGCAGTTTTCATCGTGAAAATCAGACCAGTTTGCTTGATTTTCTCACGGCTGCCTCAAGACCCTAAATTCGATCGGCTGAACGAGTTTTATCATTGGCTCCCTTTTGACCAATAGGATTTTCAATTTACTTACCCCATTTCACTAGTCAGTGCTTGCCTTGAAGACTGCTTGTTCACATCGGAGTTTTTTTAATTTTAAATACTGATGGAACTGCTAAAACTGCTTATTCTTCCATGGTGCGGTTAAAAACTACTCCATTTGGCTAAAATTCTTTCCCGGTAGTTAACAGAACACCCATTATTCATACCTCTCCCTCCCAGCTGTTTTATTGTAATCATGGGAAAATCCGTAGTTTTGGAAAATTTGCACGAGATCCTGTAAATTCTTCTTGATTGACGCTGTTGTTAGAGCTACTTTCAGATGAGATGAGCTTCTTTATATCTTCGTTTTTGGGACTTACATCGATTTTTTTGGATCTTTATGCTACCATCCATTTCATATTCGTCTTGGTATTTCTAGTGTGATTGTCTAAAGTTTGAAGGGTTATTGGTACATAGCAGGACTGAGACAAGTAGGCTAGATCGTACAAGGTAGAACCGTGGAGACCTGAAAACATTATGGCTCAATGAATGCAAATGAATTAATTATTTCCACTGTCCTAGTACAGCCATTCAACCAGCAGCTTGGTAATGTTCATATGTAACTTGTTCTTGCATTAGCTGACCTAAAAGGGCGGGCCTTTTCATTAACTTAAATACCCGCTTTCTGACTGAATTAGTACCTTCTTTAAAGGTAGCCTTGAAGATGAAACGCTTTGAATTGGTTTTATTTTTGATTGAAAGGTTGAAAAAATTTGCCTATCATCATTCCGCATATCTCTCTGTAGTTCGGCTGTTGACTCACTTCGTGTTCCGCGGACATCTCTGCTTGGTGTTTGAGCTGCTTTCACATAATCTTTACGACCTGCTCCGCAATACCAACTTCCGTGGTGTCTCACTGAATCTTACACGCAAGTTCACCCAACAGCTCTGTTCCGCTCTGGAGTTCCTCTCCCGCCCTGACCTCCAAATTATCCACTGCGACTTGAAGCCCGAGAACATCCTCCTCATAAACCCCAAACGCTCAGCCATCAAATTGGTGGACTTTGGCAGCTCCTGTCACGTCAACGAAAAGGTCTACCAGTACATCCAGTCGCGCTTCTATCGCTCGCCTGATGTTCTCCTTGGTCTCGACTATACCATGGCCATTGATATGTGGTCTCTTGGGTGCATCTTGGTTGAGCTGCACACCGGGGAACCTCTATTCGCCGGACAGCATGAGGTCAGTAACATTCGATTTCAGTTTGGCCTCTGAAGAGGGCTTTGCTCCCCAGGTGATCATGGCATAGGTGTTCTTCCCTCATGCCATAGCATCTTAAATATTTTTGTGTATTTCCTAACCTAACCATTGGGGTCATTCAAAAGCGTAAGCTTTTGTTCAAGCTGCCTTAGTAGATATCCATCCTTGGAAGATTGGTGCATTGTACAGCTTGTAGAAAAATGTACGCTATCAAGTTGTGGAGTGGGTAAGGAAAAACCTGAGCTTCTGTAGCAGTATCTACTCAATCATATTTTGAGTGTTGTCTCCAGCACCTTCTAGTTATTTTCTAGTGAATTTCCAACGAAAGAGATGAGTTAACTTAGCATTACGTTGATTAACATTCATCCACTATGAGGGAGCTCATTCGGCTGGTGGGCATTCCACATTGACCATGATTTTTATGCGAATTGCTTTTTCTAAAGAACCTTTTGTTCTGCTCACAAACTGCGTGGTTATCCTCTCAATTTTGTAAGTGAATTTCATTTTAAAATGAATAACAACTAATGCAGCTTCGCATTGTATACAGTGGCATTGTGGTACAATTGAAATGGAGTGCTTAAGTAGTGTTTGCACTTCTTCAGAGCTTGAAGTTGGCAATGCCAGTGTTGCATTGGTCCATCAAATGTTCGATATTGAAGTGCGTTTACGAATCTCATCTGGTAACTCAATTGCTTCCACGGAAAATTCCAATGTTTTGGTCTCACAGAATGGTGATAAAGCACAAATTTTGGTGTCAATTGGTCGATTTGTGACAAGCGGTCGTATTTCTGCTTTTATTACGCTTTGAGATGAGTGTGCGTATCTTTCAGCGCTTCGGCTGGTTTCATCTCGTTACAACTTACCATTTTTGATCTAAATTTAGGATTTTAACGCAATGTATCTTTAATGAGAATTGAAACCGCTTGATGGTCAAATTTGCCCAACCGACTGTTGTATGCTCTTGGTTACTTTTTCTCTCCCTCTAGTACGCACTTCAGCTCGGTTTTAACTCAGATTCGGCTGACTTATTTGGGACAAAGCTTGGAGTTGTCGGATTAGTGTCTCCTCTTTTATCTATTGATTGTGTTTTGCGTGTGCATTTATTAGGCCACCATGCATTTCGTTTGTTGGTACCCTTGTTACATGGCGCTTGAATGGCGAGGCTTGCATTGTTCGAGGATAACGCAAATATCTTCCTCTGCCACTTCATGTTTTACTGTAGCTCTGGCAAGCGTAAATCATGACTCGCCGTGCAATGTGGAATTTCAGTTATTGTAGACTCCCTAATTTTATTGTTCAGGATATACCTTTAACGCCGTAAAGTGGCATACGATAAGCACGTAGACTATAACTTTTTTGCCTTAAGAGTCCATCATCTTGTGGTAGTACCTTTTTAAGCTGAAGAAATATAACTTGGAGAAATCATAACTAATCTAACCGAGCGAAAATGGGCCTATTTAAAAGCAATCAGATGGTGTTGCAACTGTAAACAGTCACAAGTCAATGTTTAAGTGGTTATTAAAAGGAAGCAATCGTTTCTCCTCTTCCTTTGGGGCACTTTTTGCTGAATTATTCAGGCATTTTTGTGGAAAGTAGGGCCAATACCATCTGCTTGTGTCCAAAGACTGCAGGTTTATCACATGCTGCAAATTCTACCTCTATCAAGGTTATCTGCACGTTGAAATTCGTGGGCGTGATCACCAAAAGTCACAATTGAAACGCATGATAATCATCACCCACCCTCAAGTGGGAGTAGCTCGTGTATTTTAGTTTGCTGGATAATGACAAAAAGGTAAACCGGTTTGCTTCTGGTGGAACTCCAATGTTTGCATTGATCTTTCGCTAATAAATATGTTTTTTTTTCCTAAATTACCTACATTGTAGTCTGATTAACACAAACAGGGTCTTATCCCTTTTAAAGTTCTGCATCAGCCAGACACAACTAGAACTAGTCTGTCGTAAAACATCGGTGCGAGAGTTCATTTGCTAAACTGAATTTCTGGGTTAAAAGGTAGACAAAAAGAATATAATAATAGGGTGTATTTAATTTTAAGAATTTTATTTTAAGACGGCACGTCTCGTCAAGATTTTCGAAGACGCGACAACGTCTAATACTCAAGAGACTGTGGCATTGATACTAGGCTCAGAGTAGGAGCGCAGTTACCCAGAGCGTCACGACAGTTTGCAACCATTTTCGCAGTCAGACGATGCGACTCTAGCGATTGCCTCTTCAAACTAGCAGCAAAGAGCACATTCGACAATTCAATCAGTCTGTTGACCAACAAGGTCTGCGAGTCCACGCACGCACCTGCTCTCCCCACATGTGACGCTTGCTGCACGTTAAGCAAACGAAATAGCAGTGGATCGAACACCAAAGTGCCACTCATGAAGACTAGCCCGGTTGGTTGACGAAACGCGGGGAGGGGGATGAGGGAGGTCACAATCTCTAAAACAGGGGTGTGTGTGTGTGTGTACGCATGTCACATCTCCGCCCTGGTTCATAAAGGAAGGCATGATTGAAGCATACTCTGCCCTATCGAAGCTGCTAGCCTACCTTGGGACGCTCCACCCTGATGATGTTGTGCTCTCGCGCATCTGTAAAGTCATAGGTATAGTTAATGCGAAATTGAGGTGCCTTCAAGTGTTCATCTTTGTGGCGTCAGTGTGTGAAGGTGGGGCAAGGAGATCCTCTCACATCGACAAAAACGGTCGTATTTATACGCATCCTGCCAACCATTGGATCACCACTTTGGCATTGTATGCGGACAGTCTCATGAGGAACCGAGATAAGAGACTATCAAAGTGTGTATAAGAGCAGATCGTTTTGGAATAGTGTTTTTTCTTGGGATGACTTTTACTTAAAGGTTCGCTTCATCTCGTCGTCATGATTATCCGTATGACAGGGCGTGTAGTTGTTGGAGGTGGAGGTGATGATGAGTTCGATCCGGGAGTCGGGGTGGGGAATGTCTCGCCG